GGTTCCCAAAGTCAGAGACTCTCTTGGTCAGCTTGCTTCCCACACCAAACCTCCTGTCAGGAATCTTGGCGTGACCTTTGACCCAGCTCTCACCCTGGATTCTCATGTCAGTTCTCTTGTTCGCTCTTCCTTCTTCCATCTCAGGAACGTTGCTAAGCTGAGTCCCATTCTGTCCCGCTCTGAACTTGAGACAGTTCTCCACACCTTCATCTCCTCACACTTAGACTACTGTAACTCTCTTTTCACGTGTCTGAGCAGAACCTCCCTGAACCGTCTACAGGTGGTTCAGAACGCCTGTGCTCGGCTTCTGACCAAGTCCTCCAAACACGCCCACATCACCCCGCTTCTCCTCCAGCTTCACTGGCTGCCAGTCAACTTCAGGGTTCATTTCAAGATCCTGGTTCTGGTCTATAGGGCCTTACATGGACAAGCACCATCTTACATTGGTGATCTTCTTAGTCCCTACACCCCCAGCAGGTCCCTGAGGTCCAGTGATCAAAGCCTACTGGTTGTGCAGCACCAGGCTAAAGGTCAAAGGTGACAGATCATTTGCTGCTGTGGCCCCCAGACTCTGGACCTCTCTCCCCCTGAGCCTGAGATCAGTGGACTCAGTGGTCTCCTTTAAAAAGCAGCTGAAGACTCACTTGTTCAAGCTGGCTTTTGTATGACCTTCTTCACCTCTCTCTCTTTATTCTGCTCTCCCCACCTATTCCACCTTCCTCAGGATCCACTGATTTCCCTCTTTCCTGTTCACTCTCTCTCTTTCTTAACATTTTTTTAAATCACAATCGTCTATTTTTGCTCATTTTAAATATATTTTTAAACATTTTCTAAATGCTTTTTTATATTTTTACATTTTTTGTTTTTGTGAAGCGCCTCGTGATTTTTATCTTGAGAGGCGCAATAGAAGTGATATTTTCTTCTTCTTCTTCAAATGAATGTGGTTTCAATAATAACACGTTTAGGTTTTTCTGCAGGCTTGGCTGCGATGTGCGCTGCAGGACTGCTTTCTACACGTGGACCGAACCTTCGGCAGATGTCACAAGTGAGACTTTGGTTTTATTGTAGATTTCACCTAAAGAGATGTTTGTTGCATCTCTGGTTGCTTATTGGAAACATCAAAACGCCGGTATTAAGGTTGCAAATCAGCTGGTGCGGCGTCCTCGTGACACATTAAGGAGGAGATTAAGAGAAAGCCAGCGTCTGCACTGGAAACCAGCAGCCTGATGGGAATTGATCGTGATTTCTCACTAGAAGCCGTGTCTCGTGGCCCCATTAAGGGGTAAACTCATCTCTGCGTTTATTGAAATGGATAAATCAGCTGCAGCCCTCAGGGCCGCTTCTCCCTAAGTAAACAGACACACAACATTTATTATTATTACTCATCACCGTCAGACTTTAACTTCCTTTAACTGGTTAGTTAGACGCTTTGGTTTATGAGTTTGCAGATGTAGAGACAAAAAGATCAGAGACAATAAACCGCTGTAGGAGAATTTTGTTTTTGAAATAACAGATGAGCGATTTAACCTATCCGGTGCTTAAAGACAAACGTAACTCTAGCCAGCCAGGTGAGTGCAGATCAGATCCCACAGGTGCTGACATACAGATCACACCTACCGATGTGGATTAAAGCTGCTAAAACCCTCCGAGTCCAACGTTTTAGACCAGAACACCTGCTCTAATGACATTTTTATGAGTGTTAATGCTGATTAGTCATTGAAGGACCAGCCATAACTCTTATGGGGGCAATAAAAGCCTTTATTCTCGTGGGACAAGAGGAACCTTTGGTGAAACACACTTGATTCAAATGAAGTGTGTCTATAAAAGCCTTAATGCATGAATGCTCCCTAAATAAAGAATCAATGAAAGGAGTTGTTCCAGTGACGTAAACCTGGAGAAAACAGATGAAATCAAACTGACTCGTCAGACGTGGTTGTGACTTCCAAATGAAGACGGATGGGATTGGATGAACTTCCTGTGCAGAAGCTTCCTGATGGAACGCTGTGAAGATCAGTTCAATTCAATTCAATTCAAAAATACTTTATTGATCCCAGAGGGAAATTGATTGCTGTAGTAGCTCAGAATAATAATAATTATCTACTTATCAACTTTCTGTGTATGACTCGTCTTTGCTCATCTGTCAATATACTTGATACTTATTTTACCACCATCTGCTTGTCGCCCCTCCCTGTACTCTAGTCCTTGGTTTCCCTTTACCAGGTTCTCTTTTTTCACAACCACCATGGTTATGACAACATTTGAAAAAAATATGTCACCATTTAGATTGTTACCATGCAAATTGATGCCTTAAATAAGAAAAACTGAGACTAAGTGAGAGAATAAGCATAACTTCAGAAGAATTCCTTTCACCAGACTGCAAACGTCAGGCCTGCCGCTCTGGGCTCGGTGTGCTTTATCTTCTTTCAACAAACCCAGCAGTAGATCGACTTTATTGCTCAAACAACGTCCCTTCATGTAAATATACTCATGCTGTTTTGGGTGCATAATGGTGGATATGCTGAGCAGGCTGGGTAAAAGCAAGGATCCAAGGCCTTACAAGGCTCCAGCGTCGTACCCTGGAGGATATGAAAGAGTCCGACTCATCACAGCAGCGAAGCACAGCTCAGCAGTCTTAACTGGTGTGGAGGTCACCCAGAGACCTGATCACAGCTATGTGGAGGGAGACAGCAGGATCAAAAGCATCCTCAACCAAGACAAATATCCAGTGAGGCATCGCCTGAAAGAAAAATGAGGCAGAGGAAGAAAGAGCTGACAGGTTTCAGCACGTTAATGGTGGAGAAGCTTTTGTGCATTCAGACGGTGTTAGCGTGTGTTGGCCTGATGGAGCGGAGGATGAGGGGACACTTCAAAGCAGCGTTTTGTTGAATGTAAGCATCGCAGCCGTTTCACATCTCAACGAGGATGTGGGCCGTTAGCGGAGCTAGCAGTCAATTTCCTGTTTTGTTTCCAGATAGAAACTCCAACAAGACGAACATGAGCGTTAAAAAGTGCCTGGGATGCAACATGGGGGAGCCACGAGGCCCAGAGGTGGGAAGAAATCAGAATCGAACCAGATTTGGCTTTGAGGCACACCGAGAGAACTTGTGTTTAATCAGCAAAAAAGTCGCCTCCTGGTGGGATCTATTCTCGGAGTGTGCTCAGAATCAACATGGAGCACATGCAACGACACAGGGAGGCGAGTCTGCCTCCGGGAGGAAGGAGTCAAAGTTTCCAAGTGGTGCTCGCTGCAGAACCACAAAGGTGGAGCTGCACCAGAAGGTGGAGCTGCACCAGGGTCAGCCCCGCCCATTCCAGAATCAGCCCCGCCCATTCCATCAGAGTCAGTCCAATTCCTTCCAGTTGTCAGACTTGATAGCATTCTGGAACCAAAGAGGGTGTTATAGCTAAAAAATGCAAGATTGAGGACGGAGTTGAGAAGTTAATTGAACAGTTTGTGTAAAGGTTCCATATAATTAAAAATCTAACTTTTGGAACTTTTAATCGTGTTATATTGTCATTTCCTCATAAGAAACACGCCAAAGCCATTTTTGGCCTCATTCATACATTTTCCTCTGATCTCAGCTTCAATTTGGTCTCCTCCCCCGAAGCGGGTCTGGTCTTGGTTCTCAAATCTGGATATTCTGTGAATTTTCTGACTAATTATTTCTGAAATGACTTCTACTGAGACACCGCCAATAAACCATACATCCCATCTATAGAGACACATTGAGTAGCACAATTACATGTAACGCCAAATGCTGCTTATCAGATGTGGTGGCGTAGTGGTGATGGAGTCAGGTTGACATGCAGAACTGCACAGGTTCACCCCACAGTAGTGGACATATTAGGTAGTCCAAAATCCCTTTTCTTCATTTCTAGCTACACTTGCCAGTACTATGTTTACAACAATTTACTGGTATACCGTTTAACATATAATGACTAATGTGTTTATTTATTTATTTATTTATTCGTTTATTTAGCCAGTGTGAGTCCATTTGTGAGCAGAGTTTCAACTAAAATGCTGTTTAGGAACGACCAAATTCAAAGAACTTTTAGAGACATAAATATTTTGCTGAAAATAAACATTACAACTAAAATATAAACAAATTAAATGTTTCAGCTGGCTAAATAGATTGATGCCGACCTCACCGAGAATCGAACCAGCATCAGCTGAGGGGAAAGCAAAACCTTCATTCAGACGATCTTGCCACTGGACCACCAGAACCCATTCGTTAAATTTACATGCTGTTATATGTCCGTTTTGTTGGAGCGGCTATGGGCAGATTTTCATTAAGAGAAACCTTTTCATTTCGAGATATATGCAGGCTTTGTCACGTAGCAAGTTATATTTATTTTGTTTAATTGAAGCATAGAACATAGCATTAACGACTGTAAACTAGTAACAGCCGTAATTCATGTGGGTCAGGTTAGTTTGAGATAAAGTTGAAAAACAAAAACGGAAGTCAGTGGGCTAGGCTGAAGTTAAGAAGTTTGCGTGAATGGGCGGGGCTGACTCCGGTGCAGCTCCGCCTTTGTAGGTCTCTAGTGGGCCATTCCCATCTGTACCGGGTCGGCCCGGGCCGGGTAGCCCCCGTCGGCCCCAGCCTGGCCCGGTTGATTCCACACATCCTTGTCTTAAGCCCATGTGGGCTGATTCTACCCACCAATCAGAGGCTTGCTCTAATGGAAGGTGTGAATTTGCTGTCAGCAGTGGGCGTGTTGGCCCTGGTCGGCCTGAAGCAGTACCCCTCGGGAAGAGGGCCGAGAATGAGCCTTGGTTGGCCCGGGAAAATTCCAGGCCACCCAGATATGTAAACAACCTACGCTACCCGGCCCGGGCCGACCCGGTACAGGTGGGAATGGGGCTTATGTCTGCAGCGAGCACCCTCTCAAAGTTTCTGCTCTCACTTCACGTTAGACACAGAAACGATGGAGAAGGACCCGAGTTCAGTGGGGTTGGATCTGAATGAAACAAACCAAGAGGCAGGAAAAGGCCAAACTTTAACCCTTTGATGCCATTTAATCAACATTTTCTTGCTCCATCTTCCAGATGCTCAAAATATTTACCAAAAACTTCAGTTTCACCTTTTCACTCCACGTTTTATCAAGTCAAATTTACAAACAAGACCCTAAAAAGGTGTTTTTAGACCTGAAGAACTGTGAATCCTGGTGAGCCTCGAGGACTTCCTCACACTAGAGTCCAAAGGATCGCGGTCGGAGCTTCGCTCATGGATGCCGGAGCCAGATCCTTGTTGGGCTAGTTGTCTCGGGGAGTCCATCAAGGCGAGGACCAGGTCTGCATTTGTTCAGACTAAAATGGAAATTTGTGGGTTGGAGGTGTGATGTAATTTCAACTATATGTAAACTTGACCCTGCGCTCAACGCCTTATGACTGCAGTCCATCGGCGAGAAACTGCCTAAACAGTGAAGTCCTGCTAAGATGAACACGTCCTGGTTGGGCGTGTTTAGAGTAAAAAATATTACAAAAATAAGTGTGGTTTACTGAAAAAAACCATGTTATGATTATTTCTGATTCTAATGAGTTTTTCCACACAGGCTGAACATGAAGATAGTCTCCTACACCTATCTCCTGCAGTAGCTTCTGATAGAAAACAGACGGTGAAACTCTAGGATTAGAAAATCCTGACAGATCTACGTCACACTGTCACCAACATTCATGGACTCACCCATCTGGACTCACGACGGGGAAGGCTGTTGTTGGTTTAGCGTCCAGGAAACAGCAGAGAACGTCTCAGCTAGTAGAAGCTAACGTTAGCATTAGCAACTCCACCACACAGCGGAACTTCTCCAGGCTCGTGTTTGTTGTGGAGATAAAACATCAACGTTGTTGTGCAGAGTCGTGTCGTTAGCCAATCAGAGGAGAGATGTCCAAATATCAGGAAATAAGACTCCAAATCCTGTCGTGTTCAGCTCAGCTGTGACACGACTCATTTCTAGTTCCTGAAAAGGAACCGCTGCTCTGCCTTCGAGGTAACACCTCGGCTCATTTTGGCCCAAATCCTCTGCAAACACCCAGAGTAAAAATAACGAAGGCCTGATGACTTTATTCTAACAGAAGGTACCGCTTCTCCATTAGAGACAAAAACCAGTTTGGTCACCTTTACTAGGTTCTGTTTAATGAAGTTACTTCAAAAGTCGCTCACATACAGAACCAATGGAAAAGTGCCGTCTTCCCAGCTGACTGGTACCAAAGCATTAAACCTTTAATCCAGAATAAAGGACGTTTCATTTTTTAGCATCTGAAGGAACTTGACAGTATTTACATTCATGTTTTTGAACACAAGAACAACCCTCTGCTTGAACTTGGTCTGAAACCTTTACACCAAAACAGAAGAAAGCGCAGCAGATTGAAATATTGCATCCCCCAGCCTGGACATGGAGGTCTCCCTGTAATCCAGGTGTGTTGGGACACACAAACATCTAAACGTTTAAAGCTGATCCATGTTCTTTAACAGCCTGCATGTTTGTGAAGGACGTCTTTGTTTACGTCAGCGCAGAGGAACTCGTGTCCGTTTATCTTCTGCTGACAAAATAAGAAACGTTTGGTTTTAATCGCTCCTGAGAGGATTCCCCCCACCAGGACACAAATCACTTAAATATGTATTTATGTGTACATTTACACACGTCTAAGGCTGCAGGTATTTCCACACATCCCATAAAAACAGTCCAGCCAATCCCCTAGAGGTGTGAGGTTCGTCCCGGGGCCCCGTCAGCAGTAGAGGGACATGCTGGTGTTCTGATACAGGTACATGTAGGCATCACAGAACAGACGCTTGGCCACGCCCTTCATGTCCCGCGGCACCTGATTGGCTAGCTCGGCGGGAGACATTTCCAGGTACATGCCGACCTCGGGGCAGGCTTGGACTTCTGGGATGTTGAAGCCGTCTCTCTCACCTGGAACAGAACAGCGCCCGAGTGAGCTGGCGTGGGTTTGGGGAGTGGTTAAACGCGAACGTCCGCCCACCTTGTCTGTCGGCCATGCTGTCGAAGAAGATCCAGTCTTGGCTGCTCGGTCCGTGTTTGACGAAGGACACGTAGTGGCTCGTCTCGATGCAGAGCACGGCAAACAGCTCCAGCCGGTCGCGGGTCATGGTGTGTGGGAACCCGCGGCCCAGGTAACTCTTAGGGATGTCCAGTAGAACGGGCTTATGGGACCGGCGCTGAGGATGAGCGTGCACCTGGGGGCACACTCACGGGTCACGGCTGTTGCCTTCACAACACTTTAGCCATTCTTTAAAGCAGCAGGAAGCAGGATGTAGAGTTCTGAACTGGTTGTTTCTGCACTTCAGCCAGAACTAGATGGGACTCGTCTGACGAAGGATGATTAGCTGCTGAGTTACTTAAAGCTTTCCGCTTCCTAAACAACATTCCTGTCGACTATGAACATCAACTCTGTCTGATAAACGAGCAACATGCTGGCCGATCAGCGTAACTCTGCTGCCACGATGTGGCTAACGAATGCGTTGAGTAGTATGGTGAGGCAGGAGTTTTACAGCATTTGTGCTGCCACACTCGGCTGCATGGTGGCGCAGTGGTTAGCACTGTTGCCTCGCGGCATGAAGGTTGCAGGTTCCAAACTCGGCTGCGGCCTTTCTGCGTGGAGTTGCGTGTTCTCGCCATGCATGCGTGGGTTTCCTCCAGGTACTCCGGTTTCCCCCACAGATCACAACATGCCCTATAGGTTATAAATTGTAAGGAACTTTGGATAAAAGCGTCTGCTAAATGAGTAAACGTAAACATAATGTCGCCGCAACGTCAGACTTGTAAATGAATATTACGCCTTGGCGCAATGGGGGAGGTGTCACGATCACGTGGGAAGTTACCGTCAAGCCCCGGCTGACAACTATTTAAACACAAACAGCAAGTTTTGCATTTGTGAACAGAATCAGCGGAGATGATAAACTGGAGTGATGCAGATCTCCAGGAGCTTCCCTCCATTAGAGCTAGAGCTCAAATCACCAGAGACTGCACGGGCACTGTGGAGGACCTTCAGGAACTCACATATGAACCCCCTCCTTTCTCTGACTCTCAAAAAGAGTGACTGAAATCTGACAAAAGACCCCCCCCCCCCCCCCCCCAAAAAAAAAGAAACTCGTAGGATCCACACAATTCACGTGAATGCCACATTTGGCCTCAAAAAATGTCAATTTTTGCAAAAATGGTAAATGGCCTGTATTTGATGTAGCGCCTCCTAGAGTCCTGGAACCCCCCAAAGTGCTTTACAACACAACCAGTCACATTCACACACTGGTAGTGATGAGCTACGATGTAGCCACAGCTGCCCTGGGGTGCACTGACAGAGGCGAGGCGGCAGAGCACAGGCGCCGGTCCCTCCGACCACCACAAGCAGACAAGGTGGGTTAAGTGTCTCGCCCAAGGACACAACGATGACAGACTGAGCGGGGCTCGAACCTGCAACCTTCCGATTACGGGGCGAGCTCTTAACTCCTGTGCCACCGTCGCCCACAAAAAGCTACAAGTTTGCAAGTATGGGAAATACAAACTGAAGCAACTACTGTGTTCAGAAAAACCTTCAAACCTGAGATGAACACGTCCGGCAGAAGACTTTAAATCCAGTCGGGCTGAAAATGTCCTCCTTAAAACAGTCCGTGCACTCCTCAGTAGCCAGATTTCCACACAGAATACACTGCTGAGGACCTGAAACACACACACACACACACACACACACACACTGAGCTGTCTTAAAGGTCACACGGTCGTTCTGAGCTCTTAGATGTCTGGACGTACCCTCGGACAGGAGGGTGGTGATGTCCAACTCCAACGACGGAATGATTTTTGGAAACATCTTGAATCTTTTTCCAAAGCGAGGCATCTGAAGGATGAGGCAGGACGGCACCTGGGCATCACAGACAGGAATAAGAGACAGAATGAGCTGCTTACCTGACTGCAGGTGATTTACTTCATTTCCCTGTTTTCTGTTGGTTTACCTTTATGAATTTTTACTTGTTCTGCTTTAATTGTTTTGAAAATAACTCGGACCAGCTGCCATGCAGTGGTTTACTACTGAGAAACGGCCCAACTGTGCCACCTAGTGGAGGAAAAGGGTCAGGCTGCTAAAACAAAAAGGCTCATTTGTTGGTGGATGGAGGTTTTAAATTCATTCACTGAGCAATAATACTAATGATATTCACTTCATTTTATTTATAAAGAGCTTTACCACCACCGGTCACAGTGCTTCAAAGTGCTGCACAGTCAAAACAATGACCAAATATTCAAATATACAGTACAGGCCAAAGGATTGGACACACCTTCTCCTCCAATGTGTTGTTTTTATGTTCATGACCATTTACCGTATTTTCCAGAGTATAAGTCGCACCCGCCATAAAATGTATAATGAAGAAGAAAAAACATATAAGTCGCACTGGACTATGTCGCAATTTGGGGGGAATTTTATTATTTTTCTTACAAAATCTGAGACCAAGCATTTCACATTGCAAGACAAGTACCGGTAACAATATCAGAACCAGCTGTTGCATCGGCGGTATGCGCAGCAGCGCGCCACGGTCTCCAGCACAGAATGGTGGTGTTTCAAACCCTCCCCGCGGGACAGGGGAGCTCATTCCTGGGCCGGAGCCGGCCCGCAGCACCCCGCCACAGGCTGCAGCAGGTGATGGTGGTGTTTGAAACCCTCCCCGCGGGACAGGGGAGCTCATTCCTGGGTCGGAGCCGGCCGGCAGTAGCACAGTATAGCCTACATAGTTTGGTATTGAAGTCGCAGGACCAGTCAGACTATGAAAAAAGTGCGACTTATAGTCTGGAAAAAACTGTACATTAGGAGACTCACTGAAGGCATCAAAACTATGAAAGAACACATGTGGAGTTATGTCCTTAACCAAAAATGATGAAATAACTGAAAACATGTTTTATATTCTATTTTCTTCTGAATAACCAGCCTTTGCTCTGATTACTGCTTCCACACTGTTGGTATTCTCCTGATGAGCTTCGACAGGGAGTCCCCTGAAATGGTTTTCCAGCAGTCTTGAAGGACTATCTTTAAGACAGCCAAAGACTAAGTTTCTGTTGAATGCTTTTCTTTCTGGAACAACACAACAGTTTAGATAAATTCCAGTCTGGTTTTGGTAAAAAGCGATCAACAGAATCAGCTTTGCTTAAAGTTGCCAGTGACATCATGATGGCTGCAGACAACGGGGAGTTCACAGTGTTAGTATTTGATCTTTCTGCAGCTTTTGACACAGTTGATCACAGCACCTTAATTAACAGACTTGGTGACTCGGTGGGGATCTCTGGAACTGGTCTAGACTGGTTTAGATCGTACCTTTCTAACAGAAGTTACGGTGTCTGTAGAAACCAGATCATGTCAGATTCTACCCATCTGTTCTGTGGGGTACCCCAAGGCTCTGTTTTGGGTCCACTGTTGTTTCTACTGTACATACACCCTCTTGGAAAGATACTTGATTCTTTTCATAATGTCTCTTATCACCTATATGCAGATGATATTCAGCTGTACTGCTCCTTTAAGGATTCTGAGTTCTATAAACTTTCTGAATTACTAGTGTCTTTCAGCTATCGCCAGCTGAAAAACACTCGACGTTGTCGCCCTCTGGTGCCCACTCTCTCTCTCTGATGATGCAGTCCCATGCACGATCCAATGTGTAAACCCCATCGTCTCTGTTCATAGTCCTGCATCCACGTCTACTCATCTCTATAGCTTCCTTTATCCATCTTCTGTATTTCTGTTGTTCACCACCCTGTGCGAGCTTTCATGGAAGACTTAGAACAAAAAGCCATAGCCACTGACCCCCCCCCCCCCCCCCCAAACTGCAAAATAAAATTATGGAAACGCTACGTAGACGACATACTGGGAATCATACCAAAAGGACAAACAGAAACACTAACACAACACTTGAATAACACTGATGACACAGGCAGCATAAAGTTCACATATGAGTCAGAAACAGAAGGCAGCATAGCATTTATGGACATGAAAATAAGCAGGCAGACCGACGGGACCCTAAACATAAACACATACAGGAAACCAACACACACAGACCAATATCTATTATGGACATCAGAACACCCCACCATACACAAAATGTCAGTAATCAGAACATTATATCACCGAGCAAACATGATAACAGAAGAGAGAGACCGTAAACAAGAGAACAAACACATACAACACGCTTTAAAGACCTGCGGATACCCGACATGGGCGATAAACAAAGGAAAACAACAAACAACAACAGAAAGAAAAGAACACCCAAAGCAAAGAACCAGAAACCCAGACAGACAAGAACCAAAACCAGTGATAACCCTACCATACATCAGAGGCATAACGGAAAAAATAAGAGCAACAATGAAAAAACACAACATAAACACACCAACAAAGCCATACACAACAGTTAGAAACAGATTAGTACACCCAAAAGACAAGATAACAGCCAGACTTAAATGTGGAGTCGTTTACGAAATCCCATGCAAACTCTGCAATAAAACATACATAGGAGAAACCGGACGCCAACTCAACACACGAACAATAGCACATAGAAAGGAGTGCGAGAAAGAAGCAAGCCGAAAACACACAAGAGCAGCAAAAAAGTACAATAAAGAAGTCAGCCGTAACAGATCATTGCTTAAGAGAAAACCATATAATGGACTGGGACAACACAAGGATCATAACCACCGAACAACAAAAATACAAAAGATGGATCAAGGAAGCAATAGAGATAAGGAGACGTGGATGTGGGACCATGAACAGAGACGATGGGGTCTACACATTGGATCGCGCATGGGACTGCATCATCGGAGAGGGGAGAGCGGGCAGCAGAGGGTGACAACGTCCTCTGCTGCCCGCGGATAAATGGAGAAGGAAGTGACGCCACCATCAGCGTCAGCTCTGAGGATGTTTTGCAGTTGGCAAACGAAACGTCAGCAAGGTAAAGAAAAAACCTCATCTGTGTTTAAAAACTAACCAAAAATGGAATTAGAAACTAGACACAGTAAGAACATACCAAGGATAGTAGATACTCGCACGAGGGGAACATCGGCTCAGGTTGAATACTTATTTTTTGCACAGGTATTTGTTTACTGTGAAGAAAAGTTGAAGTGAAGTTTTGAAAACTAATTTTGAATAAAACTTGAAGAATAACTGGCAATTGCGTGCTCATTTTAAGAGGTCTTTCATATTTTATAACATGCTATCTGATATAATGGTTTACAAACACAAAAGGGTAATTTAATAGAGTACTCCATAAATCGATGAAAGATTCGAGTACTCTATTACAAAAATATTTGATAGCTGCAGCCCTAGTTTTGTTTTTGATCTATGTGATGCACTTTGTGATTTTCTGTTAGTGATGACTCCTATATAAATAAAATCTACTTACTTACAAATACCAATTAAACTGTACAAATACTACTAATCATAATGTACAAATACTACTAATCATACTGTAAAAATACTACTAATCATACTCTACTAATACTAATGACACTGTCGTAATACTACTTTTACTAATGCTAATGATACTGTAACAATAATACTAATGATACTGTACCAATAATGCTAATGATACTGTAACAATAATACTAATGATACTGTACCAATAATGCTAATGATAATGTACCAATAATATGAATGATACTGTACCAATAATGCTAATGATAATGTACCAATAATACTAATGATACTGTAGTAATACTAATGATACTGTAGTAATGCTGATAATACTGTAGTAACACTACTTTTACCTAATGCTAATGATACTGTACCAATAATACTAATGATACTGCAGTATGACTAATGATACTGTAGTAATAATACTAATGCTACTTCAGTAATAATACTAAAGACACTGTACCAAAATTACTAATGATACTGTAGTAATACTGATGCCACTGTTGTAATAATACTAATGATACTGTACCAATAATACTAATGATACAGTAGTAATACTTATGATATTGTAGTGATACTGTAGTAACAATACTAACGAAACTGTTCCAATAATACTAATGATAAAGTAGTAATACTTATGATACTGTTATAATAATAATGATACTGTAGTAATACTAACAATACTGTACCAATAGTACTAATGATACTGTACCAATAATACTAATCATACTGTAGTAATAATACTAACGATACTGTACCAATAATACTAATGATGCTGTACCAATAATACTAATCATACTGTAGTAATAATTCTAACGATACTGTACCAATAATACTAATGATGCTGTACCAATAATACTAATCATACTGTAGTAATAATACTAACGATTCTGTACCAATAATACTAATGATGCTGTACCAATAATACTAATCATACTGTAGTAATAACACTAACGATACTGTACAATAATACTAATGATGCTGTACCTATAATTCTAATGATACTGTACCAATAAAACTAATCATACTGTAGTAATAATACTAATATACTGTATGAATGCGGACAGTACTGTAGTAATAATACTAATGATACTGTAGTAATATTACTAATGATACTGTAGTATTAATACTAATGATACCTTAGTAATAATACTAACGATA